AAAGAAAAACTTGTTTTTTTTGCAAACCTTTTGGTCCTTTTTTTGTTTATTTAGCAAAAAATAAAAAAAAACAAATGGTGATTAAATACCACCAAAAGAAAGCTCTAGTTGTGTGAACAAAATGCTAAAAATTTAGTTTGGGTACAGTGTTGCATGACCGCGCAATTCTCATTCAAAGTGTGAGAGCGCTGTTTCCATCCATCTATTCTTGACCTCTCAAGCTCTGACAGTGCTTACCAAATGATCTTAGGCCTACCATAACCACCTGTAAGTATAGCTCCAATAGTTTATAGATCCTGCCATTTTTACTGCTCACTGCTGCATTTCAGGTGACATTGTTACTGTTATGTTGATCTGGATGGCAAATCTCATTCTATGCTTTTGTCTTATTGTTAATTGATCTGTATACTAAAGTGCACTGTTATCGCTGCTATTTATATTTCTTTACCTGTCTCGTTATAAATTTTATTGGGTGACAGTATATTAAGTTTGCCTTTGCTATTGATTTAGTGACTGCATTCTTTGAAACAAGTGTTATTGTCAGAGAATTCTTGTGAGACTCAGCCTGGTATGTCAGAGGGGCTGAAGTCCTTGAGAAGGTCAAGGCCAAGAACAGAGGACCCATCTTAAACAGCGGCTCCTTCAGGGGCAGTGCTACACCCTATTCAATCACTTATTTACAAAGATCCCTAAATCCCCAGTAAAGCGATTTCTTCCAGGCTTTCTTACTTTCTCGATCCATCTAGCCTTTCAACCTTTGCTTGCTGCTGTTCTTATTTCTCAGGCTTTAATTGTTCTAAATTGCTAAAAGACAGAGCGGCTGCTGCTGCTGTTAATCCTTACTTTAACTACTGTGTTGACCAGAAGGCCATTGTGTCAAATTTTATGTGCATTGCAAAACTGGATGCTCGATATGTTCTGTTTCGGGCATCCTAGTCAGTGCTTCAGATTAACAGAGCAATCCTGGATTAAGTGTTGGTCGGTGGACCAACAGCATAAGGAGAATTTGTGGAAGAACTCCCATTGTACGAGTCATCTTCCACTTCCTTAGGTTCTGGGACTTCAAGACACCTTGGCAGTCCAAGAGCTAAAAACATGCAGATTCTCCTCAGCATGAATGTATATCTCCACTAGCTCCTTCACAAATGAGGGACTTCTAATGGCTTTTGCATATATTTGGGAAGCTAGCATAGCCAATGCTTGGGTGTATAAGGTAGTATCCACAGGTTACAACATAGAACTTTGCTTCTTTCCTCCACCTTTGCTTTGTGTCTTCCCTTGTCTCAACAAAGTCAGATGAATCACCTTTCAGCTGTTCGGGGATTGTAAAATCAAGGAGGCATTGTTCACATTCCTCTCGCCAAAAGGTTTCAGGGTTTTTTACCTAAACCCATTTACAGTTCTGAAAAAGTTAATCACACTCTAAACACTTTTGTATGAACTCAAAGGTTTTGAATGAAATTCTATTTGATCAATTATTGCCTCCCTTCATCTCTGAGACTTCTTAGCGTTCATCAACATAAAAGATACATTTTTACACACTTCTGTTTTTCCAGGTCACCAGCTATCTGTTTTGTCCTTGGTGACAACCACAATTAATTTGTGGCCTTTCACTTTGTTAACTGATTTGGGACCTTCTTCATTCAGTCTTTGAATATTTGGATGATCTTTTGCCTACAATGAAACCTTTCTGACCTTGGATTGTAAAGTATCAATCATGGTATGTTTCCTGGAGATCTTTGAATGGACCTTGAACAACATGAGGTCTTTATTTGGAGAAGTTTAGGCTTTTTCTGGATACTTTATGGGCCAAGATTTTCCTTCCCCAGGTGAAGTTGATGAAACTTCAGAGTCAGGCTTGACAATTACATTCTGAACTTTAGTCTTCCGTGCTGAATTGCATGTATGTGCAAGGATTAATGAGGATGTTACTTCATTGGTCCCACTACCCCGCCGCCGCAACCTGACAGAGTTCACTCCAACAATATTTCAGCAGTCAATCATCGGGCACCAAAAGTGTTGCAGTGGCCATAGAAGTTTGAATCTATCCTGTTCTGGGTGCAGCTTCATGCTCCAATGATTTCCAAGGTGCACATTCCTGGAGTTGTGGACTGGTAAGGAAACTTCCTCTCCAGGCAATGTCTGGACCTAGAGCAATGGTCTCTCCATCAGGAGGTGCTTAAAGACACATATCTGTATTGGGGGGTGCCAATCTACAATCTACAGATCTGCCAGATCTGTTGTCTCAAAGACCAATCTTCTACCCTTTTTCTCAATCATTGGCTTTGACAGCTTAGCTGTTGAAAGACAGATTTTGGGAGATAGAAGCATTTCAGTTTCTGTCATTCTGTTCATGTTTAAAACTTGTAAGTTTACATCTTTTAAGACTTTTATAGGCTTCCCCACATGCCAGTGGACCATGGTCTACTCCTCCTTTTTGCCCAAGATGGTTCTCTCCTTATGGTTTGGGCTTGTTGAGGAGTGTCAGAGTTAACTTCCCACCACTGCTTCTTTAAAACTTACAAGAGATTACAATAAATAGTTTTAAAACTTTCTACACATTAACCTTTCTTTAAGATAACATGTCCCAAAATATATATATATTTGCCATAAGTTAACACACCAGTTCTATGTTTTGCAATAAAGCAACTCCAGGTAGGTAGACTGGTGCTTGCTCCAATGCTTTTCTACTGGGAAGTCATGAAGATAAGAACGCGCAAACCAGTAAAAATGTAAACTTCACTTATTATAAATTACATCCAGCAAAGCTTCAGAATAAAACATATTCTTTAGATTTCCTTTAACGCCCACCTTTTCAAATAAAGCGATTTTAGTCAGTCACTAAACTTTCTTTATCAATCACTAGAAAGGCTACCATCAGGAGATTTGTAAATTCATAAAATAGATTTAAAAAACATTATTTTATTTTTTTTTCATTAACACTGATTTTTATTTTATTTTCTACAGATTCCAATTTCCCCTTTCCTCTTTTTTGTCCTATGTAGACTGATGAAAATAAATCTGACATCTCTCCTATCCCTCTTTCCATGCTTCATGGTACCCTATTAATTCCAGCTTGTACTATAAATTAAGTCTCCATCAAAACCCCTTAGGCTTTTTAGACACTTGAGACTGAGCTGTTCTTAACCACATTAGCAGCTTGATGTCTATTATTATTCATTGGATCTATCCAGGGTAATGTGTATGGCCCTCCTTTAATTGTCTCTGCTCCCCTCTATCTTCTTTTATCAGAAATGAAAATGAATAAAAAAAAGAAGTCTCTCTTCTTACTAGAAGTCCCCATTGTATGGGCTGACACCAGATAGACCCTAGGGACATTTCCTGCTGTCCTTGGGATTCATGTGTCATTAGCACTACAAGGAAAGCAAGTAAAGACCTCTGCCTGTATCAACACAGATACCAGCTACATGATTAGCTTTAACGCACAATCACAATAAGTAACTGGAAAGCTAATAAATATATATTGGTCAGGAGAATATTGACTATTATGTTTTGTAGGGTTTTTAATTCCTCTCATGATTTCAAATGTTTCTAAAAAATTATTTTCTTAATTCCCAAATGGATTCTGCAAGTATGGATTAGGATCAGAAAATTACATACATTTTATGAAGTGCTTGGGACTAGGGTTTTTTTCAACATTATGGAGCTCTAAAATCTATTAAGCCATTTCAAAATTACTTTTCTAGTAAACTTCAGTACTTTATTTGGAACAACTGACATTCTGAGGATATCCCTACAAGTACATTTATAAGAACTACAGTACTTTCTAATTAAAAAGAAGTATGGTAGTTTCCAACGAGATCAGTAAAATGTATGAAATGTACCTTATTCATTTACACAGGTGGCCCTTATATTTTGCTTTTTCATATTTTGAAAGTGTTTATTTTGCGTGGATGTCCTGTCTTGTACACTGTTACCATCCCTCATACACGGAACATATATGTAAACTCACTGTCACTAAAAACTCATATAATTTAAGAAATATGTAATTTTAAAGTTTTTTTTTCCAAATTGCAGCTTTTTTTTTTTCAAACTGAAGTACTAAAAAATACCCAGTGATCCCACCATAGAGGTCAATGTTTTAGCACATCCTGTTATGGGGTGACGTCTCCTTTCCACAAGTGTTTCATTATAGCCCTGTCATATGTGCCCCTGATGGTGACAACAGTCATCTGTCCTGATACACATAGTACATACATGGACCACCATCACTATCAAAAAGACAGTCCTGAGCAATGATGTGCAGGAGATGCAGGTGTAAGTATATGTAGTGCACTGGATGTAGAGTGTTAGTGAGCACGCTCTCATCACAAAAACCTCAGCTGCTTATGAGCACAAATGTGTCACTTTTAAGGAATTAAAGCCCACACTCTTTGCAACCGCACACATGTGTTACATGGGTGGCACAAGGTAAACATATAAGCTATTTCCCAATACTGTTTTTATGGTAAAAAGAGTAATTCCACTTTTGTTGAGAAATAAGCATTACCCTCTAGGTGATCTATGTATGATGCAAAGATTTTGCCAAACGTTGTTGGAGATTCCTATGTTTTATTATTCTGAAGAAATAGCAGTTTGTTTGTGTCCATGTGCAGAGTTAATCTAACTCTGGTTTTATAATTATCAATCAGTTGCTACAGTTGCATTAGGATTATCTCACCAAAAGTAACATTTTTGTTGCAGGGGATGCCAAAAATCTGACTTGTATCTTCGTGCAGACTTCTGGGAAAACCAGTAAGCCAATCACAAAAGCAGAAATTGACATTTTCAGGGGGTGTTCTGTACACCATCTGTGTATAGCACACCTCCAGGTAGCCATATTGCATTGCTGTGACAGTGTGAGACTCTGTCACTGTGGAAATGGGTTTGAAAAGGACACAGGACTCTCAAATAGTCAGTTTGAGAGGCTCCAGCAAATGTTTTGCGAGCAGAGAAAGCTATGTTTTAAGGTTTCCCTGGATTTGGTAAGTCTGGATTGGGGCTATAAGCTTGAAGGCTCCAAAGAGTATTGGGTGGGACGGATTCTTCAGTCTTGTGTCCAGGTTTTTCAGACGTTTGGCAGGGTGTGTGTGTCCAGGTGCACACACATTATAAGGCAGATCTGAGCATAGCTCTAAAGTGGTGAAGGTGGAATAGCAGTTGCTATTGCTGCAAGCCTGAAGACAGAGCTCTGTCAGGAGAGCTGGAAGCTCCTGCTGGAGACTACAACCCTTGTGAGGGGGATTCTGGAAGGGTCTGGAAGGCTAAGGAATCTGCAGAGGCCAGTGAGTCCAAGGGGCTGGAGGAAATCCGTGAGTCTCTGGAGGAAGCAAGCTGAGGTACAGAGAAAACTCTGTCAAGAGTCCATATGGGGCCTGAACAGCAAGGAGCTGTTACCTAGGCTGAGAGAGCCTGAATAGCCAGTGGTCTGGGAGACCAAGCCAAGCAGAGGTACTGCTAACTAGAGAGCCAGGTGGCTTGGCATTTTCACTGTGCATTATTTTGAGTGAAGTTGAAACCCCCTGCATGGGAACCTTGTGTTGAAAGGACTTTTCAGTTAGTGTTTAATAAATGCGTGCTAACATGCCCTTTAAGTTTAGTTCCTGTCTGGCGTGAACTCACTAAAAAAAATGCATCTACCACTGAGCTAAACATCCCCGATATTACAGTTGCATTTTACAGAAAATTACAGTGCTGCAGATTGAAAAGGAAAGGTAATTTTTAACAACATTCAATTACAATATGACTTGAGTCGAAACTGTATACACTGTATTATTTCTTCCTTTTTTATTTGCAAATGTTTCCCCACGAAAATAGTTACCCTTTTAAGTATATGGAAATCCAATAGGCAAATTTATTCTCTAAGCTTTAGTGTGTTTTACTTAATTTCAATAGTAATTTTCCATAATGTTTTAATCTGCATTTCAAGGGGCACATTAATAAAATTAGAGAATGACACTTTGGCAATACATTCACTTCAGGTGAATCCATGTTGCATGTTTGAAATTAGTGATTTACTTATTTCTAAATCTGCCCCTTGGCACTTCTGCAATGAAGGTGTTTTCTGTGCTTCCTGGTTCTGCTTTTTTTCCTGTCTCCCAGCTGTGTTCCTTTGTTTTCACTCTCTAACATGGCTTTACGTGGAGGATGTAAGTGGCTGCACTCATTACATTCACTGTTGTCACCACTAGTAAACTTATGCTGAGAAATGCCATGCAGCAATTGCTGAAGCGCATGCATGTAGACTAGTGATGGGCTAGTTTGTGGCAAACATTCGAAACTAATGAAAGTGCCCATTTTGAAGGCTTATATGCAAGGTATTTGCCATAAAAGGTACTGCCGTGAGGGACATGAATCCGTGAAAACTTTTTTTCAAAAAGTACAATTTTTAAAGGGACAGTCATTTTTCATTGCTTAAAGTGAAAAAAAGAAACATTCCTTTAACCACTTTCGGGCTGTCCACCTACAATGTACTGTGGATGGACGGCAGCTGCAGGACCAGCGACGCACCCGTACATCGCTGGTGTTTTGCCAACACAGGCGGGCACTGAGCGCCTGAGTGGGCACTCAACCCTTTTTCCCCACATCCGCTGTGGCCACCGCTATACGATCATATGATCACAATGACAACAAAGCTTTTATGAATCATTCTGATTCATAAAAGTTTTGCTTCTGTTCCTGGAGCGCTGTGATTAGTCCAATCACAGCACCCTGTACCATATGAGCCGCTGGAGCCAATCACAAATTATTATTATATTGAACTGTCATGAACTTAACACATTCATGATAGTTCAAAGCAAGCTTATGGTTTAAAAAAATTTATGTTTTTTTGCATTAAAATTCAAAAGTGTATTTTTTTCCAAAACATTTGCATTTGAAAAATTGCTGCGCAAATACTGTGTGACATAAAAAATTTCAACAACCACTGTTTCAAACTCTAGGGCCTCTGATTTAAAAAAAATATATAATGTTTTGGGGGTTCAAGGTAATTTTCTAGCAAAAAACCTGTTTTTTCAAGTCAACAAAAAGTGTCAAGCGGCTTGGTCTTCAAGTGGTTTGAAAAGTAGGTGATGTCTGCCATAAGCTTCTAATGTTGGTCCTGAAATGCCAGGATAGTAGAAGCACCCCCCTTCCAAAAAAAAAAAAAAAAATTACCCCTTTTTGAAAGTAGATACTCCAAGATGTTTGCTAAGAGGTATGGTGAGTATTTTGCAGATCTCATTTGTTGCCACAAGTTTTTGGAAAATTAAGAGAGAAAACGAAAATGTATTCTTTTATTTCATTCTTTTTCAAAACCCTTTGACAAAAATGATATCTGCAAAATACTCACCATGCCTCTTATCAAATTCCTTGGGGTGTCTACTTTCTAAAAAGGGGTCATTTGGGGAGGGGGGGTTTGATCATTATTTTAGCATTTTAGGTCCTCCAAAACTGTGATAGGTAGGGAGGAAGTGCCACGAGGAAATATATTAAAGTGACAACTTTGTTAAAAAAAAAAAATTGTCATATTCAAAATATTTTTGGCAAAATGTTCCATGGACTCCACATGCCTCTCTGCAAATTCCCTGGTGTGCACCTTCTAAAAAAAAAAAAGTGTAATTTGGGGGAGTTTTGTACTGCCCAGGCATTTTAGCACCTCAAGAAATGTGATCAGCAGTCAGAAAGTAAAAGCTGTGTAAATTCCAATATATATACTTTAGTTTGTAGACGTCAGGGGCGGATTGACCACTTGGAAACTTGGGCACTTCCCGAGGGTCCGGGGTCAGTAGGGGGCCCCATGAGATGCCCCTGGTACTTTTTTTTTTTTTTTTTTTTTTTTTTTTTTTTTTTTTTTTTCCCAATGGGCTTTTTTGAGTTTGGGCAAGGACACAGGGGCCCTATGATCCCTTGTTGCCCGGGGGCCTCATGAGTTGTCCGCCCCTGGTAGATGCTATAACTTTTGCACAAACCAATTAGCAGAATACATTTTGGCCTAAATTTCTGATTAACTTTGAGTTTACTATATATTTTTATAACTGAAAGTAAAAATTATGGTTTTCTTTTTCAAAAATTTTCAGGTTTTTTTTTTTTTTTTTTAGTTTATACCACTAAAAATAAACCATTTGTGATCAGATACCACCAAAAGAAAGCTCTATTTGTGTAAACAAAAGGACATAAATTTTGTTTGGATACAGCGTTGCATGACTGCTCAATTTAAAAAAAGCAGTTCAATATCATGCGGGGGGGGGGTCCTTTAAACTACCTGCAAAGTTGCACATCTGTATAGAAACTGCTGCAACAGAACTGACACTTTTTTTTTTTTTTTTTTTTTTTTAAGACCTTTTTATGAAAGGAGAAAAAAAAATGTGGAATTGATTCCCCCACCCAATCCATTCCAGACCTTTTAGGTCTGGTAGGAAATTTAGGAGGCACCCCACAGTAATTTTTTTTTTTTTTTTTTTTTTTTTTTTTTTTTTTGTGCATGGGGTTTCCTCTAAAAGCCATACCAGGCCCTTCAGGCCTGGTAGGACTTTTAAGGGAACCCTACCCTCCAAAAATAGGGGGGGAGGGGGGGGGGGGGGGGGGGGGAAGTGCCCCCTAAATTACTACTAGACCCTTGATCCGAGCACAGGCCTGGCAGGGCAGGAAAGGGGGGAATGAGCGATGGCTTCTTCTCCATAACCCTGGCCTAGTGGTTGTGGGGGTCTGGAGGCAGGGGAACTCATTAGCATCAGGGTACCCCTTTAAATAAGGGACAACCCTGATGCTGCCTCCCTCTTGTGAATGAGTAAGAGGTACTTGTACCCTACCCATTCACTAAAGGGTTAAATATAGTTAAAAATAAAGAGACCAGTCTTTTGAAAAAAACCTTTACTGAACAAAAAAACACAAGTTTTTGACAAGTCCTTTATTGAAAAAAAAAAAGCCAAAAAAATGATTCCATCATTGTAATCCATTGTCAATCACAACATCCAGTGTTGTCATGCCCTCGCCAAAATAAAAAAACACTTGATGCCCGCCGACCTGTCCGCACTTGCCACAATCTGACATTTAAGGTCAGAAGAAAACAAATGGGCGAAGCTAGCTCTGCCCAATTGTGCTGTTATTGGCCAAAGAATATTTTGGACTTTTTGCTATAAAACATGTCCAGTAAAAAAAATGTAAAAATCTAATTTCTGCCAAAATGCATTCTACAACATGTCTTTGCTAAAAAAAAAAAAAAAAAAAAACCAATACCTGTAAATTAATTGGTTTACGTGAAAGTTATAGTTTACAAATGGCGGGAAAGATACTGGGATTTTTAGTTTTGTTTTTTTGTTTTGTTTTTTTTAATACTAATGGCGGCGATCAGCGACTTATTGCGGGATTGCGGCAGACATTCTGACATTGGGGGGTACTGACTTGGGGTCACTGACATCCCCAGTGACACCAATACAGTGATCAGTGCAAAAAAAAAACACTGACACTGTACTAATGGCACTGGGGAGGAAGGGGTTAAGTTTATTTTTCAGGGAAGGGTTATCTGTGTGAGGGGGGAGTGTTTTGCTGGGGGGCAGGGGTGTGTACTGCAGGGAACACCGCTGATCGGGAGAGAGAAACTCTTCTGTCCCGATCAGCTTGTCCTGGAGCTGTCAGGGAACTGACAGAAAGCACAGCTACTGCAGCTGTGCTCTCTGTCAGCGATTGCCGCCGATCGCCGGGACATAGCCGGTAATGACCGGCTGTGATCGGCGGGACAGGTAGGGCGGAGGCGCGCCTCGCGCGCCCCCTACCTGTTTACAAAAACACACGTTTTTAAAATGAGCATTTGCCCAGCCTTGCCGCCCTGCCGACGTATTTATACAGTGGCTGGGCGGCATGTGGTTAATAGAGGTAATTGGGTCGCCTATTTCTGTCTGGTGGCTAGTCCTCCTTAAGGTTCCTACATGATGGGATTAGTCTTCTGTCAACTTGACCTTGTTATCTAATCATGTTTATTCCAATGTGTAATAATTGTTGTTCATGTGGGGGCTACCAATATTTCTGAAGTGTATACAAGTGTATTTCTATTCAATAAAGAGTTCCGGTTTTCATCTAAGCTAGTAGTGTTGTCTACTCTGTGGTGCGATGTCCAGCTATAATACCTTGTTCCTGTTTCCCAGCGGTGAGGCAGCAGTTCTCTGATGGAATTGCCCGGTCGGGGTGACAGGCAGTTCCTCACACTAGGGTTTACATTTTCTTTGGTTCAACCTATATAACTGCTTGCAATGCATTCCTTTACAATAATGTAAGTAAAGGTTTTACAACTGTCGGGGTTATGACGCACATAATTGTATTTATTTTGTAATATGTTGGAGCATACCTGCAGTTGGAGAGCTGAGTTAACTGACACCTGTATGCAGTAGCATGCACTAATATGCTCTGCAGTAGAGCAGGAAAAAAGAGCAACTTGGTGACAAAAATGCGGGATTTATCTTTTTAA